CACCCTGCCCCTGTCCTCATGCCCCCCTCCAGCCCCCCCCCCCCCCCCCCCCCCCCTCCGCCCCCCCCCCCTCCCCCCTCCCCCCCCGGCACCTCCATTCCCCCATCTTGGGCACCCCATTTGCCCCCATCCAGACTCCCCCATGACTCATCCTGACATCCCAGTACTGCAGCCCGGCCCCCCCCCCCCCCCTCCAGCCCCGGCACACTCATTCCCCCATCTTGGGCACCCCATTTGCCCCCATCCAGACTCCCCCATGACTCATCCTGACATCCCAGTACTGCAGCCCGGCCCCCCCACTCCTCCTCCAGCCCCCCATGCCCTAAACCAACCCTTCCACTCCCCTCCTGCCCCACTACCCATTCCCCCCATGCCCCATGTCAGCACCGCTGTACCCCTTCCTGCCCACTGTACCCCCATTACGTCTGGGGCCCCCATTCCCTCTCCCGACCCCCCCACGTCCCTCTCCCGACACCACGTGTCCCACTCTCGACGCCCCTATAACCTCCTCCCGTCTCCTCCATGCCCCTTCCAGACACCCCCATACCCCGTACCGCCACCCCCCCAGCTTCTCCCGATCCCCAGTGTCTCCGTGACCACACGTGCCCCCTCCCGGCCCCCCAGTTCCCACCGCTGACCCCCCTATAAAACCCTTCCGATCTCCCTTGCCCCCTCCCGGTGCCCCCCGGCCCGTACCCTCCCGGCCGCTCCCCGCTCCACCCCCTGCCCCGCGTACCCCCCGTTCCCCCCGGAGCGTCCCGGAGCCCCTCTCCCCGTACCCTCCGGGCCGTTCCCGCTCCGCCGCCCCCGCCGCGCCCCGACCCCCCCGCCCGGGGCTATTTTTACCCGGTCGGGGGCAGGTGCCGCCTTCACTCACCGCCCACCCGCGGGGCACGCGTGGGGTCAGGCCGGACACAGGGGCGCGGCTGGGGAGGGGGGGACGCGCCGACACGCCCACCCGGACAGCGGCGACGACCCCAAAGGAGCCCAAGGGGTGACACGTGGGGCCCGCGCCGTGGGGGCCCGGGGGGACACAGGGGACACCTCGGGCAGGGACAGGGAGACCTGGGGGTCACAGGAACGCGGGGGAGGTGGGAGGACACACGGGGCACGCGGGGGAACACGGCGGGACGCGGGGCTCACGGGCGACACGGAGGGACATGGAGGGACGTGGAGGGACACGGAGGGACGTGGAGGACACGGGGAACGCCGGGGGCAAAGACTCCAGGGGGGACATGGGGCACACAGGGACAGCCCGGGCAGGGCGGCGGGACACGGTAGGGACCCAGAGCGGGGGACAAGAGGTGGGGAACACGGAGGGTCCCAAAGGCCGCGGCGACCCCCGGACTGTCCCGGGGACGGTCCCGGTGGTGGCCACGCCCCCTCGTCTTGGCCACGCCCTCTCCGGCCTGGCCACGCCCCAGCGGGGCAAAGGCCGGGCAGAGCGCGAGCCTTTCCCTCCCGCCGCCCCGGCCGCCGGCGTGGCCGCGCCCTCCCCCCGCGATGCCCAATCAGCGCTCGGGGCGCACGGCCGGTCCCGCTTTCCTCTGCTCTCGATTGGCCGGTGCCGGCGGCGGGGCGGGGCCACCGCGCGGGTGGGCGGAAGCGCGGCGCCCACGTGGTTCCTGCAGGGTCCGGGCGGAACCAGGGGGTCGGACGGGACCGAACCGAGCGGGGCCGGGCCGAGCGACACCGGGATCGGGATCGGGGCCGATCCGGGCCGGTGCCGGCCGCCATGGACCCGCTGCGGGCACAGCAGCTG